CACCACCACCACCACCACCAATTGCAGCGCTGGAGTATACTGGAGTCTGTGTAGCCTTTGCAATCCCTGGAAGCTGCAATGACGGGCTGAAGCCCAGATCGTATATCTAAAAACGGGAAGCCAACCCGAAGGCCCCACTCAAAAAATCATGTCCATCTCTGACATGACCACTTAATGTCGGGGGTCTTAATAATTAGAATAGGGTCTTGAAGCCCATTATACTACAATTATTATAAGAATGCACCCCCCAAAATAGTATCGGCACTTCTTTAGGCCCCTACATTAAGTTCGCGCAGTTTTTTTTGTTGCCGGCCGTTCGGCTCAGATCTGTCTCTACTTAAAGGATCATGGGACTTAGTAAGTAGGGTTATAATTAGGGTAACTATACTTATAACCCCAATTAAGGGACTTATAACTCTTACTTACTAAGTCCCATGATCCTCCAAGTAAGAATTCAACTGCGAGTAGCCGTCCGAGCAGCGCTGACTCAGCGATTCGAGGCGTCTCGGGGCACTCGGGGGCCCGACTTCGGGCCGGATCTGAAGCAGCTGACTGTAGGGGCCTTGATACTTAGAATAAGGTTTTGGGGGGTCCTTATTATAATTATAGTATATAGTATAAATATACCCCCAAACCCTATTCCAATTTTTCAGGCCCACATATTCCCTCAAAACCGGCCTGGCGACCTGTGAAGCAAGCAAGGAAGGCGTCAGCTGCTCAAGATGGTCTCTGAGCTCGCCTAGGCGCACTCTTCCAAGACCTCCTTCGGAATGCAAGAGGACATCTGAAATACGATGTCCTGTTTACATACAGACCCATATGAGTAGTTCTCTAAAGAAGGGTCCCCTTTTGGGGTCCTCTTTATAGAGGTGCCGCACTATATTGGGGACTTAACTAAAAGGACCCTGATTTAGAGAGCTACCCATATATAAACATATTATGTAGACTCACAGTCAACCTTCGCACAGTCCCGAACTGGTTCAACAAGGAAGGTAGCACTAGTCTTGAGAAAGGCAACCCTTGCGTGCCACCTTGGCGAGCTCTGTCTGAACGTCAATTCAGATCAGACTTTGCTATGTAGCATTTCCTGTGCTGTGCGCTCAGCTTCCTCGACGGAGCTGAAGAATTGCTCGGAAAGCCGTTTGATCTCCGACTCCACCTCCGCAATCTGCTGCTCCAGACATTTGACATCTGGGAGGTCGAGGAGGCTTGCATATTCCCTCTCCAGCGACATCTTCTTCAGAAAGAGCTTGTCCAAGTGTTCCTTCACTTCGTCGCGACTGCGCGCTAGAGTTGCGATGGTCTCTGCAAAGTACTCCCGCTTCACGCCCCAAGCCTTCACCCAAAGGGTGGTTGAGTGAAAGACTTCCAAGTCCTCGTCCGAAGAACCCATGAACCTCCCGGTCGCTCCGAAACGTCTGCACCCCAAGTGCAGTAGGTCACAGCTCGGATCGTGACAGGGCTTCGAAGATGAAACTCAAAGACATTGCCCACGCCAGCCCACACAAACTTAGATACACAGGCTACTTCGACAAGCTCGTCTCTGTCATAGGTCGCGAGCTTCTCTTTCAAGTGCTTCATCTTCGACTTCTGCTCGTTGATTTCGTGGTTGATGAAATCATAGAGTTCCTTTGTTGAGCTTTCAATCTTCATGCACTGGGCGCTCCCCTTCATCAGCTGATCCCGCCTCTCCTCTAGCACCGCAATCTCCTTCTTGTGCTTGACCAGCACGGCCGGTGTTTTGGGTACCCGGAGACCTGCCAGTGGAGCTGCTGCCAAGTTGGCCCGAGCAAACTGAAGAATTTGCAGTCGTTCGGTGAGCTGATTGTCCAACTCCTGATCTGTCTCGGGCGAGGAGTTCAAGCAACGGACAGGGGGAGCAGCCTCCAGCCCCAGAAGATTCTGCACATCCTCGGAGCTCTGCTGCATGATCCTCTGGATCTTGTCGGGATGGTCCTTGTACTTTTTGCTGCCCTCCTTGAAGTCAGGGTGCACAATGACCAAGTGCGCTGCAAAGATGTCTGCTCCGAACAGCTGTTGGTAGTACAGCACGGTGTCTTTGTAGGTTTGGTCCATGCGCGACTCCGTCTTCATGACCAAGATGACAGCATGCACAGCGCCGAGCATGTGCGCATTCTTCACGACGTCAATCATGTACTCAAGGTCTTTCTGATGGCTCTCGTTCAGGCCAGGCGTGTCCATGATCGTCACAGTGCCATCGGCCGAGGTCGACACAGCGCACTGCTGCGTGCATGACAAACGATCTTCGCCCACTTGGAAAGTCCGATCTTTCTGATTCCAAATGTGATCCATGTCCGGCTTCAACAGGAAGTTGCCGAGGGTACTCTTGCCTTGACCGGTAGAACCCACGAGGATCAAGTTCACCTTTTGGCTAAGGGAGAGTCCATGGCGCGCTAGGGGCCGAAAGCAAGCAAGACCAGGCAATGAGGCACCGCAGCTTGGACACGCTGACGGGATGCAGATACTCTTCTTTGCGCGTGTGCCCGGACGAGAACGCATCAACTTGGTAATTACACTCATAAGTCATAAATTACAAGTAAGGTTGAAACACAGATATTTGATGCATCTACCTCTCTATGTTCGGGCTTGTTTGTCTATCGAGTTGCATCTCTATGATACGAATTATTTATGAGATGCTATGATATGGTACGGTTATGACTAGGACTGTGACTCTGATATGCCTAAATCCTCAACCCTGCACCCCTAAAACCCCTAAAACCCTGAACCCCAAACCCCTAAAACCCTAAACTTTACCCCAGACCCTAAACCCCTAACCCTTAAACCCTAAACTTTACCCTAAACCCCTAAACCCCCATTTGGCCGGGCCTGGTGAGCTCCGGAGGAGCCAGGTCCAGTGTGGCGTAGGCCCAGGCCAGGCGCGCGAGGTCCTGAAAATCACGGTTTAGGGTTTAGGGTTGAGAGTTTTATGGTTTAGGGTTGAGAGTTGAATTTAGGGTTGCGGGTTTAGGGATGAGGTTTCCCCTTAAAGGGCACTATAGGCTATAGCGGTCCTGTAAGGAGTACCATCGTACTATAGGGTTCCTTGAAGGTGTGCCATCGGGTTCCTTAGAGGTTCATAGAGTTCATAGGGCTCCTTTAGAGGGCTCCTTTAAGGGTGACTCTAAAGGGTACGAAGGGGTTCCTTTAAAGGGTGCCTTCGGGCTATTTTGACGGTTCCTCTAAGAGTTGGTTTGGGGTTCAGCTAGGCTTCTGGATCCTTGGGATTGTGGGATCCACCGTCCTGAAGCTTCTGAACCCAAATATCACAGGAAACAGAAAGGCACTGCAGGAAGGGTTGGTCACTTCCAAAAACCGGATTCCTACATGCGGTCTTTTGGGCTTTCGGGGCTCATGCAACCCGCCCGAAACCCTAAAGTCTTGGCTTGGAGATCAGTTGCCAGCCAGTCCTCCTCGTCAAAGTCAGCTATCCGAGACGCCGCCTCGCACAAGAAACGCGACTAGGCAAATCCTTCGGTAGCAGAGGATTAGTATGTCTTATCAGTATTATTGTAACTACTAGCTCAATTGTTGTTGCTATTATTGCTCTTACTATCATTAATCAGTTTTATTGTGAGTTCTATTATGAGCATTATTATTCTTACTACTACTACTACTACTACTACTACTACTACGACGACGACGACTACTACCACTCTTACTCTTATCGTTGGGGTTGTGGTTTGGATTATTAAAACTACTACTGCTACCAGTACCGTGAGTACTGCTTTGCTACTCTTACTCGTCGTCGTTGCTGGTACTCTTTTTCAATCAATATCAGGCCGTGTCCGATGTTGATTATCATGGCATGTTTATAGGAGTAACATAGGGGCCTTAATAGTTTGAATAGGGCTTTGGGTTGTACTGCTGCCTTACTCTTCCGGACCCCTATTTTGTTCTCTTGATTTTGCGGCCCTCCTGTCCTTAACCCTAACCCCCTAAAAAACCCTCCTAAACCCTAAACCCTAAACCCTAAACCCTACGAAAACCTCCCGCCCCTCTACCCAAGAGTGCATCTGTGCACACATCGGCAGCTTTTACTCGTCAGCTTGGTGCCAGAGGCTCCCAGGTCGCAGGCTCTGCGAGCAGCTCGGAGACCTCCTGGTGAGCAGGGCTTTGGGTTCCTTTTTTAGGTAGAAACAGGTGGTGGGCCTTTCACTCTACCAAAGCATCCATCTTGAGTTTAGGTTTTAAAAGGGTTTAGGGTTTGGGGTTTAGGGTTCGGAGCTGAATCGTTGCTGCCACTACGAAACAATACCATCATCGCCATGGACAGTATCCTCACTATGCGCACTGCGACTACTGTTCTGGCTGCTGCGGCCACTGCTGCTCCTGCTACGACAACGTAACAACGACACCACCACCACCGCCACCACCACCACCTCTGAACTCTAAATCCCGAACAGAATTGGTGCTGCTATAATTGTGATAAGGCACCCCCCCAATAAAACAAAAACAATAGCAGAGGCAATTATTGAGGCCCCTATAGTCAACCAGTCAATCTGCTTCATGGGAGTTTTAGCTCTCGAGTTCGGGGTTCACCTTAAACCCTGAGCCCACGGGTCTTCCAGGGGCTTGGGGGGTTCGGAGTGATCCTTGTCGTCCAACATCAAGTCGAGCAAGGATCCATCCGACTTCACCTTGGCGCATTTTTCTGCGGGCCTTTTGTTCCAAAGCACTCGGAATCCCAAATCGCAAAACACGAAGAACACAACAAATCCAATGAACCCTAAATCACCCTAAACCCTGCCCCCCCCAAACCCTAAACCCTAAACCCTAAACCCTAAAACCCTAAACCCTAAACCCCCCCAAAAAAAAGGAGGACTTCCCAGATTCACCAAAGTCACGAGCTTCAGAAGCAGCGGAGGGACCCGCAGGCCTCGAAGGCGAAAGCAAGTCTGCTTTAGCAAAAAGGGGGGGGCAGCAGCCTCGGGACTGGGGTTTAGGGTTTAGGGTTTAGGGTTTAGGGTTTAGGGTTTAGGGTTTAGGGAATGGGGTATACTGTAACCTACCACAACCCACTTTTTTGTTGGTTCTTATTATAAACCCTATTCTGAGATTGTAGGGG